GTCGCCTTAGCATGCGAGAGGTACGGGATCGCATGCCCCGCATTTCTCCACAGCTCTTTTAACTCCCCACTTCCCTCAGCTTCTGATCAGGCCTGAGTACAAAAAGTACTATGGGATATAAAATAAAAGCCTTTGTTGTTCAACAAAAGTAATCCCCTGTCTCGTGGCCTGTTACTGGATTTCATTTACTGATTCATAAAAGTAGTAGTGAGCTCATTTTTAACCACTTTATAATCCTCTCTAAGTAGTTTATCCTCTAAAATAAATTAAGCTATTAAGTTGATCATTCATGCTTTAAAAAAACACACACACCAGTAAACTATGGTTGTCTTGAATCAGATTATACATAGAGTAAGTTGGTGACAGGTATAGAAAATCGTAGTGAGTAGAAGTATAGAAGTAGCAGAAAATGAAAGAATAACTGTAGATTAAAAATATTTATATGGTTTGATTATCTGGGGGGGAAAACAAACCAGAGTTGCCTCAGAGTCTCACCTTCAGGTTTATGCTCAATTATGGTTGAATTTGTTCATTTTTCCTATGATTAATGTGTTTCCACAGAGGTTTTAGAATAGCTACGTAGCGTCAACTGTTTCCTTTTAGGTATGGTTTTACAAATAGAAGTTGCATGGATCTACCATTTGAGCTAATTCCCCTCTGCCTTAAAGGAGCAGTCCACTGAACCTCTGTGTGTGCACTCCCCCTCGCCCTCTGACCCTCTTTGGGTGCACACCCAGTGCAGTCCACCCCTTTGTGACTGTGTTTTGTCTCTCCTTTATACTCCTTCATACTACGTATTCATCCTTATGTTCCTTACACTACAAAACAAATATGCACACAAAGCAGTAAAAATGAGGAGTGTCATATTTTCTCTTCCTGCAGTCAGTTCTTCAGGCAGCAGCAGTTGAATTATTCTCCTGGCAATAACTCAAGAGAAGAGAGACTATATTGATCCCACACTGGGGATATTTGCTTGTTTCAGCAGCTCCACATAAACACAATAGATCAGAAAGAAAAATAAGAGTTATATGTACACTATATATAGCATTTTATATACAGACATGATTGATGCAACATTACACAGAGATAATTGCAAAGATTATTGATTACACATGTAGCATTATAATAGAAATATATGTATACAAACTTGAAAGAGGGATGAGATTTGCAGGAGGTAGAGGCACAGTGTAGAAATAAATACAATTACACAGGACAAAAACACACAGTGAAATTTACAGGAAATATAGGCTTTAAATATGTAGAATTGCACAGTAATAGTATCTGTAGTGTAAGTGTTGGCCCATATGACAGAGACAACAAACAGTGCTGTATTATGTCATTCTGGTGTTAAACAGTCGGACTGCTGTTGGAATGAAGAACCTGCAGTATCAGTGGATCAGTTTCCACCCCAACAGGAGTAAAACTTCCTGTAAACTCTGAATATTTGGAGTTTAAAATGGAGTAATAATTGGTCCGAGTGTTTGTGTTGTGTCTGTTCAGAGTAACAGCAGCAACAGGTTGCCGTCTCTTTAAGAAGCTCTGCCTCCTCCCCCGAGATCCCCCCTGTGAGGGGAGTGACCTTCCCAGCTTTAACTCACTCCCATTGGACAGAAGGACCTGTCACTCTGCAGCTGTCTCTCTGACTGGCTGGGAAACAGATTTCCTGTGTACATTCAAAGAAAGGGGGAGAGAGGAGGAGAGGAAGAGAAGTTTGTAACGGAGCAGGGAGGAAAACAGAGGGATGAAGGAGTGAATGTGTTTAGGTCAGAAAGGAGGAGGTGAGATGTTGTTTTCTGTGAGTTAAAGAAGAGGAGGAGGAGGAGGAGGAGGACATGAGGGATGTTACCCAGCAGCCCCGTGTGGTCTCTGGGGTCCAGGACTGAACTGACTGCTGTAAGTACACAAACACCTCTGTGTGTGTGTCAGCCTCTCAACGCTCGCTGCTCTCCGCTCTGTGTTCTCACTGGAAAACTGACTACTGATAAAGTGTCAGTGAGTACTTAAAGATCAGTATGCAGATTAAATCACTTGTTTTTTATTGTTGTCCCACAATGCAATGCAGAGGACGTAGAGGAGCTGCTCCCAGCTGGAAAACATAAAAACAAACTGTGAACGGTGGTGAAACCAAATGTATTCAGTGTATATAGTGCACTGTATGAGCAGGTAGTGGGGCTCTCAGGCTGTTTACACCTTTCTATTAACATACAGTGTGAACGACCACAGAGACTCATCCTCATCAGATCACTTGAACCACTTCCTGAGGAGGGCAACCACAGATCTTTCATTGTGTAAACTATATAACCGACTTGCAGCACTGTGAACCCAGAAATGTTGAGTACCACAGTTTTCTGTTAGAAATGTTCAGTCTGGGTCTCCAGCATTTAGAAACTGACAGATGCTAACCTGCATATGTTGGACAATTAGCATAATTAGCATTAATAATCAGCTATATGGACAATATTTCAGTAATTGTTTGGCTGATTTGGACAATATAGGAGTGTTTTTGGGGCTTATGTTAAGTACAAAATGTCTGTTTAAACCAGAAGTGGCCACATTTTAACTCCCAGAGGTCTAGTCTAGAGATCTAGCCCACTAGTAACCTCAATATCACCAGACTCCCTTTAAAAACTGCAAAACTTTAGAGTTTTTGAGTGAGGAGAAACTTGTTTTTCCAAATAGCACACAGATTGTTCGTGAGGCTATGCTAAGCGAGCGCTCTACC